GCCCGTCGGGGGAGATGAGCACGCCCAGCAGCGGGGAACTGACCCGGGTCCGGCCTCCTGCAGGATGGGCTCCAAGTCTCCAGGCAACACCGGGCAGCCGCCCGCCTTCTTCAGCAAGCTGACCGAGAGCACCTCCGCCATGGTCAAGTCCAAGAAGCAGGAGATCAACAAGAAGCTCGGCACCCACAACCGGAACGAGCCCGAATACAGTAAGGGCCCGGCGCCAGGCGGCCGCGGAGACCCGCGGTGGGGGAGGGGAGGGGAGGGGACCACTGACCACCCTGCCAGGCCCTTCGCCCGGTCCAGGCCGGTCTCTGTGCCGTAGGCACTTGGCAGCAGTGCCCGTCCCCGGGGGCGCCCAGGGAATAGGTGTGTGAAGGGCCTGTGCTCAGCCCCGTGCGGGCCCCGGGCGTTGGGGTCCCGTGTCCTCCGTTCACGGTGCTCGTACCATGGGTGGTCCCCCGTTTACGTGGTGAGTGCCCTGTACCCCAGCCAAGCTCCGCCTCCCCCAGCACAGGCGGGGCCGCAGCCGCTCTCAAGACAGCGAACAGCCAGAATCGGCCTTGTCCCGGGTCTCAGGAGGCCTCAAGGGCCGGGGGCGTTGGGGGAGCCCGATCCCCTCTCTGTGTGTTTTTTTTTTTTCATGTTTTTATTTACTTTTCTTTTTTGGGGGGAAACAGGAAGGGAGAGGGAGAGAGAGTGAGAAACATCAATGAGAGAGAAACCATCATTGATCGGCTGCCTCCTGCACGCCCCCCGTGGGGATCGAGCCCGCAGCCCGGGCCTGTGCCCTGACCGGGAGTCGAACCGGCGGCCGTGTGGTTCCTGTGTCGATGCTCCTCTTTCCGGGAACGGCCTGGCAACTTGCAGACAGTCCCTGGCCCAGCCGGTGCCTCGGGGCCTTGCGGGTGGGGGTGCAGGTCAGCAGGTCAGCAGCCTGGCGAGCTGGTTGGAAACGCAACCTCAGGACCTGCCCCGGCAGGAGCCCGTCTGCACTGAGCCAGCGCCCGGTGGCACCTGGCCTAGACCCACAGGTGGCAGCGGGGGTGAGGGCGCGGGCCGCCGGCTGGGTCTCACCTCTCCTCACCCCTCCAGATATCGGCCAGCCCGGGACGGAGATCTTCAACATGCCCGCCATCACCGTCGCAGGTAACCGCCCGTCCGGCCCGTGGGCGCCGGCCCCTCCCCCCTTCCCCCCGCTCAGCTGCGCCCGGGAGGTCAGGCTGCAAGGAGAGGGGGACCTGGCCTTGGAGTCCCGGGGCTCCAAGGTGTCCCCTCCTCTGTCCACCCCAGCCCTGGGGGGCCAGCGAGGAGACCCCGGGTGCATTTAGACAGGTGAGGTGTGCGGACAGCCGTCTGGGAACCTGCCCGGCTCGCCTGCGACGTCCCAGAGGGAATGTGACTGTGTGGAGGGGCCTGGGCTCGCACTCGGGGTGCACAGGCTTCCCTCAGGGTCCGTGCGGGCACTTCTTATAGTGAGAGCATCCGCTTTGCTTGAACATTCGAGCGGGAAGTCGAAGCAGCCACGTGGGTGTGTCACACGGACGGGGCTGAAGTTCGCACACGTTTACAAGTATTTTTTTATTGGTTTTTGGAGAGAGAGGAAGGGAGAGTGACGGAAACGTCAGAGAGAAACACCCATCGGTGCCTCCTGCTCGCCCCCCACTGGGGACGGAGCCCACAACCCTGGCCTGTGCCCTGACCGGGAATAGAACTGTGATCTCTTGGTTCACAGGTTGATGCTCAACCACGGAGCCTCCCGGCCATTTTTCAGCTAAAACTGAAGCCCTCTGTGGGCTCGGGGGCCCCCTGGGTTGGACCCCATCCTCGGGCCGCGGCCACACTGTGTGTCTTCAGGGAAGGACTGGGGGGGGGCTGAGTCTGGTGTGAGCGGTCTGAGCCCTGAGCCGCTGGGGGACTGTCACCCTCCGTGGACGGGGCCGCGTGTGCGGAGGTGGTGCGGTTGCAGGTCTCTGAGCTCTGGCCCTGCCGGGGACCCTGAGCCGGGGACCCTGAGCCGGGAGAGTGGGGGCATGTGCTGCCGCGCCTGGGGGCCTGCGTCCCAGGCTGGTGAGCAGAGGGCCACTGGGTTGTGCGACCAGCCGGCTGCTGGCTCCCCAGGGACCCCGGGGAGGAGACAGTCCGTCCAGAACAACAAGGGGGTTAGAAACGAGTGTTTCTGGAACGTTCCGACCTGACAGGCCGCTGGGCCACGGGTGTGCGCGTCTGCAGATGTTTGTGCCCAGGGTGCCAGGGCTTCCGCTGCTGTAACCAGAGGCGGGCCGCCTCCCGCAGGGTCAGCTCAGGGACCGCGACCTTCGGACGAGGCCCAGGGACACCTGTGGCCGCGGAGCCCGAACCCGGCCAGCGGCCGTCGCGGCCTGCGTGCTCTGCACCGTGTTTCCGCATTCCCGGGTTTGCTCAGCGTGCGGGGCGCTCGCCCCTGCTGGGGGTGTGGCGTTTTCTGGGGGACACAGTTCGGTGTGTGTGTAAAGTGCTGACGAAAGGGGCCAAGACACAGCTGGGAGGTGTGGGAGGGCGCCCCCTGGTGGCGAAAAGGAAAAAAACCGTAGTCACCCACCAGTTGCCATAGAAACGGGATGTGGAGGCTGCCACGTGGGCACGGAGGCCACGGGTCTCTCACTCGGGGGTCACTAGGTATCCTCACGTTCGCTCAGAGCGAAGGGTTAAAATTCTCGGAGTCGCTGCCCGGCGGCTCGCGGCTTTGCTGGCAAAGTCTGGCTTCGAGAAAGTTCTGGAGAGAGACCCACTCCCCGGGGTGGGCACAAGTGCCCAGGACAGATCCCGGAAAAACGCAGGGTCAGGACACCGGGCGCAGGGAGGAGGCTCGGTGGCCAGCGGGCTTCTGGGCGGCTCCGTGGGGAGCAGCGCGTCGACTCGGCCCTTTCCCCCTGGCGGGCGGCCGGGGC